TAGCTAGGCGTAAATGTTGCAGATTAATAAATATAGGTGTGAGGACATGAAAGCAAGTGTAAAGATATAAAGGTGTAAATATATGTATCAGGATATAAAGATGCGGATTGGAATTTTTAAAGTTTCAACTTGAGACAGTGGCAGACAATGGCCAAAATTATTTTCAGGCATTTTTTTCTTTGGCCAAACTCTAAAATATTAGAGTCAGTCCCACTGGTTTGCTCAAAACCAGTCTTTAAATGCCCCCTGTTTAAAATATGCTTCGTTCATCTATTTGTGCCATTAAAATAACAGACCGTGGAAAGGGCTCTTAGCCCTCACAGAGGGACAGAGAGACATAAACCATACCAATTGCTGATTCTGTAGGATATGTAAACTATTGAAAAAGGTAGGGTTTTTATGTTGTCTAGATATGCTACTCATACTGCTGTAATTTCAGGACATGATGCAGTGGCACTAAAAAAGCTGTTGAAAAACCTTGAAAAATCCAGTTGTGGCTGTAAAGGTTTTGGGATCAACTGCATTTCTGATCTCTCTAATTTTTCTGGATAGAGCTTGTGGTCTGGGTTGCTCAGCGGTACACCTTCCTCCTGCCTTACACATTCCTCTTACACATGTGATCCCAAATTATGCATCTACCTTTGACACATGGATACACCTTTTTTCTTCTGGGAACCCACAACCAGCAATTTAACTAAGGTAATTTAATTTGTCTTCAAAACAATGTGTTAGGCATTAATTAAAGCAACTTAATTTGTCTTCAAAACAGAGTATTATTCATTCGTCCTACGGCATGAAACACATAGCACAAAGGGTAAAAAACATCAGAGGTACATGACTCTTACTCATACCCTCATCTTTCCCCTTGACAGCTTTTGTCCTTTCTCATTTTCAGCTTCAAGAAGCACTTGTGTAGAATTAGCACCAGTCTGTTTTTTCAGTGCTTTCCTTTGCCCTGTTAACTCCCTTCCTTTCACACACTGCTTCTGGACAGCTTTTCTCAGGTGACTCAAAGGCCCCAGTTTCAAAAAGCTTTTATGAGATTATGGTGTGATACTTCTCAGTCCTGAAAAAACAGAGATATTAGTAGCATTGCAACCAAGGTGTTATCTTTTAGATCCACAAACCTCTTTGAATTTTGTATGTCCTCAACTTCTTTTCACCTGCTTGATCACTTTCATAATTCTTATTGACTAACTGCACAACAAATATCGTCATCTCACAAATGCATATGTGGAAGTAGAGTATTAATTTTAAAAATTAAAATATCAGGCGCATTTTTCTAGTTTCCTAGTGGAACTACTTATTCCAAAATAGTAGCCTGTGATACATACCGGTTATCAGCAATAGAATGCTACAGAATACTAGATACTTATAAAAGGTAAGATTTTATAGAACTTTGAATTTTTTATAAAATATTTTAATTTTTTATTAATTTTTTGTAATTAGGCTGCATACATGATATTAATATTTGGTAAGGTAAGCCTTTTGCCCATACAGAATTTAGTAAGTTATTTTTGATTGATAGATTGTTGTTTCTGAGAAGGTGCTCACAAAGCACAAAAATATCTGAGTAATGATAAAAAATACTACGAAAGAAACTATTTTAGCTACAGTTCAGCTGATCCTTCTTTTCTTCTAATCCCCACTTCAGTGTTAGATATGAACACACTTCATTCTAGGAACTTGTGAAACACCAAAGAAGAACAGGCACCCCCCTGCTTGTTGATTTTTTTTGGTGTTTTTTTTCCTGGTGTTACTGAGTGTTTAGAGACTTGTGGGTCCCTGGAAAGCCTCACAGCAGGTAGCACTTGAGATGAACTCCTTAAAATCTGAACATACCATGTTTTTGTTTCCCCTTCAGAGTAACTAGGAAACCAGCCTCACCCCAAACCCTGTACAGGGTCCTCCCCTCAAGATCTTCTTGTAGCTTTGGCATTTCCAACTAGCAGAGACAAATTGCTATTGGTAAAAATATCACAGAATTCAGTTCTTTAGCTGCAGCAAGAAAGGTATAAACTAGATATTTCTGACCAGCAGTATCAGTAAGAGCTGACTTTCCTCTCTGAAACATGGCCAACTTCTGCCTTTGAGATGAATTTCAGGACAGAGCCTGCAGATAGCCACACAGAAACTGTCCTCTCTTTAGGTCAGGAGCTCTGGACTGTCCTAGTATGTGGAACAGGGAAATCAAAATGGTCGTGAGGAAGCCCCACCTATAACACAAAATAATCCCATTAGTCTCTCTGTGATAAAGACCTGGGAGTTATTTTGCGGAGTAGGTGGCCGTGGGAACAGTGTGGTTATCATCATAAAACAGAGGCAGAAACCAGAACTTTCTCCAGGAATGGGGAAGCAGCTTCCAGGAGTATCACCAAGAGCAGCATTTTCACAGCAAGAAGCCAAGCTTCCTAAAATGATTTCACCAGTAAAGAACACCACAAACATAAAAGTTTCAAGGAAAACCTGAAATCTTTCTGAGCAGGAGGAAAGAAAATAGGAGTAATTACATGCATTTTATTGCCTGAGATATATGTCAAAGGGTTTGATGAGGTGTGAAGGAAAGTAGATGGATTTAGCGGTTTTCTGCAAAACCTTGCATAGGTTGAAGAAACAAAGCTGAAGTTGGTGAAATACAAGTAAGACTGTTCATTTAAATTTTCCTTTTGGAAGGAGCTGCAGGTGAAAGCAGAACTGAGAGCTGGCAGGACCATCCTTCTGCTAGCAACATGCACAACTGCAGTAACTCTTTGTCTACATCCTTAGCCAGCCTGCAGGGATGGCAGCTGCATGTATTGAACCACATTCCAATTCCAGTCACACTGGAATAACTCCAGGGTCATGTCATTGACTTCAATGAAGTTATTCTTTATTCATGCTTGCTTAGCTGAGAATCTGGCCCATTCTATCTAGGTAGCAATATCTAATGGAGAAAATACTGCCAAATTAAGGGAACAAGAAGAACCAGACTCTGTCACGTGAAGAGGAAACATTTCACATTTTAAGGATTATAGAGGCCCTTTAGTTTAAGGACTTTATCAGCTCTTAAAGGACAGTTTACTGAAAAGCATTTCTGTACATGCTTTTTTTTTTTTTTTATGTCTCATTTGCCATTTTATAAAATGGAAATAAAATTGATTTTAACTTTATTGAAATAAAAATACTGTGATTTTTTCACCACAGAGCACTAATCCATTTTATATCTATGAGGAGCAGTCTGGATTAAGACATCTTCTATTTAGTATCTCCTCTACATCAATTAAGAAGGCCTCTCTGGCTGAAATATATTGAGTTTCATGATTTTTCTCTGTGGGAGCATTTTTTCTATTGGTGCCAAATTCAACTTTGTGAAAAATGCTGTGCTTTGCTCTGCTAGGAAAACTCAGGGTGTCCCTGTTGTAGTCACCAACAAATGACAGAGAAAGGGAATGAAGGTAAGGGAAATTTATCATCATTGTATTATTTACAATAAGTTCAGATTCATTCAGGCCATGGTTTGATGATACAGTAAATCTGACTGTAGAGATCCCAGTGCTGTATCACAAAAATCTGCAGCCAATGATGTAAAAGTAGCAAAATGCTATAGATTTACTTCAGCAGTTAATTTACTAAAGAAATATTGACATTTACCTCTTAGCAGGCAATGGACTGAATTGCCTCACCGCTGGTTGTACAGAGTTGGTATTGTCCCATGTTATGTGCTCTGACTAATGCAGCAGAAATGCACTTGTGTGCCCAACCTCATCTGGATGCTGTTTGTGTTGCTGCATGATCTGGAGGTGCCCAGATGGAAAATGAGTGGTGGTGGATCCACCAGGGATGAGGTTTCTGCCATACATAGTTAACAATAACATGCCACTTATTAACACTTTTCACATAACCTTTGGATTTCACCTGGATCTAACAGAATATGAATGTATGAACTGATGCAACACACTTGTGAAGAAACCAAAACATGAAGTTGCCTGTGTACTAAGGAAAATATATGGGAAATTAGGTAGGGTGTTGGATTGTTTCTGGTATCTAGAGAGTTTAAAACAGTTGTTTTGTTGTTGTTGGTTTTTTTTTCTTTTTTTTTTTTTGAGCATGTATCTCAGCTTTTGCTAACCTCAAAATGAATCAACAAAAGTTGCAACATATAGCACTTTTTACTCAAGATTGTATATAAAACAATGCCATAAGATGACAGAAGTCATTTTAGACCATCCTGTACAGTTCCCATAAAGAATTGAAAATATCATAAGCCTGGCGTTGCAAACTGCCTGCCTGTCAGGTTTGGGCTTCTGCTCTGGGAATCAACCCCTAGAGTTCTCCCACAGAAATCAATTTCATTATTCCCATGTGAGACAGAGCAAGTTATTAATGTTTCAGCTACAGGAATGATCCTCCTGTGAACTAGTAAGTGTTATTTCTGTAAATCTGCATCATAGTGGGCAATATTGTCTTAAACAAATATTCCACCATCATCATTAATTGGCCAGCTTTCCAACACCTGGTACCAACAGATTTTTCATCCAATGAGCACAGTGCCACACAATGGTAACAGCAGGTTTTTACCTAATCCCTCGCCATACACAAGCAAACATCAAATGTGCCTACGACAAAGACACATAGACCAGCCTGACATTTGCTGATAACTCTCAGGAGATTCTCCCTCACCTCTTCTGTTCAAACACATTTTCCAGTGGAAAAGATGATTTAAAATAATTTCCAGCTAGACTAATTGCATTCACTGAAATTAACATCCCCCTCCTCCTCAGTTCACATTTATTAGTCCAGCTACAAATGCAGCTAAGACTTTGTGAAGTTTTCCAAAGCAATAATTATTTAATCTTAAGAGAATTTGCAAAAGCTTGCTCGATAATAGTAAGTTATACAGATATGTGTACTTCATGCAAAGTTGCACACACACACACACACACACACACACACACGAAGTAAAAAAAAAAAAAAAAAAAAAAAAAGTAGGCGTTTAAAACTGCTGTTTAAATTCCACTCACAGTTTTGAAGTCTAAGCATAAAACTTCTTGGTTTGCATCTGTAGCTCCAAGCTGTCTGGAAAGATAATGCAGTCCATCAGATATCCTGGTTTTGTTTTCTTGCATAAAAATATCATCTGTCACAGGCACAGGAGCTGACTTCAAGGACCAGCCCCTTCTGCGAAGCACACCAATCGGGAGATCCTGGGAGCACATGTGGAATGCTGCTCGCCTGTGCGCCGGTCACGGCCACGGGCAGCATCTGCTCTATGGGACACGGCTGCTAGATGAACTCGGGTGTCAAGGAGACAGGGGGCTGGGGGAGCCCCGGCCCCCTGTGGGTGCCCAGCCCCAGCCCAGCCGCGGCAGGTGAAATGGAGAGCTGGTGGGAAGGGCAACCTCGGCTGCAGGAACGAAGGCAGAGCCTTTCACAGAAAATATCAGTGCCACTGGTCCTGCTGCACTAGCCATTAGGGACACCAGAGCCTGAGGCCAAGAAGTGTGCCTTGATCCTCTGGGCATTGTTCTTTACTGTTTTAATAACAATACTCTTATTTACCATTATAATAAATGCTTCTTTACTTTTTCTATTAATGGGGTTAGAATAACCCCACTTATGGCTTTTTGTTTCAAACTTCATCCCTGGAAAACCACGCCTGGGTTTTTCTCCCTTCCCTGATGCCACAGGGCTAATTGCCCACAGGCTCCCTGCTCCTTCTGCCTCTGCCATGGTTTCCCAGCTCTGCTGTGCAAGCTCCCCAAGTGCAGCTTTGCTCTGTGCCTGTCAGAGAGGTAATTTTCTTCTTGCATCTGTTTAATTTGGTGACATTTAAATGCAAACTGCTTAGAAATCGTATTTAGGGACATACGCCCACAGCTTCCTGTGTCACTGTGTGCTGAGCCCTCTCACAGAACCGCAGGAGAGAACAGTATGTCCATTTATGCGGGTTGGAAGTACAGCAGGAATGCTGTAAAAAACTCAGACGGTGCATAGGTGAGTGTGAGGAACTGGCATCTGTAGACCTGTTTTCACTCCTGGAAACGTATATGCAAGTCACAACATGCCAGGAAAGGAAACAAGTAAACATACCAGTGCAAAAGCCGTACCTACTAAAGACTAAGGGCAACTAAAGACCTTCCCACCTTGCTCCTCTCATAACCTCAGTCCTGGCTTTATTAACTCAGATTAGCTGCTTTATTCGATCAATTGCCTGACTTTGGATTCAGGGTGCAAGCTAGAGTGGACTGGTTGTAATAAAAACTGCTAGCTCTAGTCTGTGAATAATTTACTGGTTTAATTAAATTAATTTTGATTCTAAATTCTATCCTGATTAGTAATTCAGTAAAATGTCATGTTATGATGCTTTTCCAATGGTGGATTAACGAGGCTGATCAAAAATTTTGACGAAGTTCCTTTTTCCACCTCAAGAACTGACCAGTTTCTCAGAGGAAAAATTCCCACAGAAAGTCACTGAGACAGGATGGACTTCGGTCAGTGAAACAAGTTCTCGTCGCATTCAGGGTGGAATTTCCCATTTCCAGAGGCTAAGGCCTGCACACCCCAAGCAGGAAATAACTCTCCGTTAGCAAGAGCCAAGAGCCGTAGTGGAAGTGATTTCTTTCATCAGCCGCCGGCAGGGCGGGGAGGAGCCAGAGGGACCGTCTTCGGGGTGTGTAAGGTCTGTTTCAAATCCGCAACAAGGAGCAAACTTGTTTCCAGTTCCCAGCCGGGAACATTTTGTTCAGAGGTTTCCGAGCTGGGAGCGGCTGGGGCTAGGCTGGCCGGAGTTTTTCCTGCCTGATCCTGATCCTGCTTACTCACCCAGGGCTAGGCAGGGGGCTGGAGCTGGGTCAGCCTGCCTGGCTCTCCCTGGGGGTGGGACAAACCTTCACCCTCTTATGCTGCTGAAGAAGATGCACCATCTGGCAGCATTTGGTGGGAGAGGCAGAGGAAAAAAATCTTGAGCCTTGTAAAATAGGTATTTCCACTGAGTTTGAGATCTTGCTGAAATGATGCTGAGGAACCCGAGCAGAAACCCCCCTGCAGGACAGAGACCTGCTCACAGACTGCTGTCTCTGTTACCCCAGCATGCTCACTGGCTACCTACAAGCTTTCAAAGGGCCTAGCTTCAATTTCCGTTTTTTGATCCTGCACAAAGTGAAACCTCCCAAAGATAGTTCTGCTCCATCCAGCCCCTTGCCCACATAGCAGTGACAAGTGGGACTGTGAATCTGCACTTGCACATGGGAGAATCGCCTTAGCCCTTTGCGTGTTGGCACCTGCCATGGCTATGGAGGGGGTGGCACAGCTGGCCCAAATTTGCAATGAGCCTGGGAAGCTCAGCCTGCCAGATGGTGTTTAACATGCAGCCAACCCAGCTCATGAAAGCTAAGCATACACACATTAATGGCTGAGATTTAGCAAGTCACCTTACCACAGCAGTTCAAGATGAACAGTCCCTTCATCTCTCTCAGCCTCCTTACTTACCAATGCTTTCCTCCCTGCAAGACCTGCATGCCATCCATTAATTCCCAGCTCTATTGCGTCTCACTGGCAAGTCTTTTTCCTCAACTCCCAGCATGCATTTTTTTCCTCTCCTTTTGGTCCTGATTACGCCTGCCTATGTTATAAAAAGTTCCTACCCTCGGTATTTACAGCCTGCAAATATTTATAGACTTATCATATTGCCTTTGAGACACCACTCACCAAGATTCTTCACTAATCAGTTCCTCCAGCCCCTCTCTTCTTGCTGCTCTTTCCTGCATGATTTTCAGATTTTGCTTGGTTTTAAAAGACAGGAGATGGAAGTTTATTTATCTTTTCTTTAAAGAAGGGCAATAGCTGGATAAAATAAAATCAAATCATATTAAGGATAGTTTAAGGCAAATTTGTATCTGAACTGACCAACTCTTAAGCTTCATACTTTTTCCAATTTATTTGTTGCATTTTTTGGGTAACTAGAGTTCTATTGAAATCCTAATGCTGCAAAACTTTGCATCTCCTTTTGCCAAACACACTCATATATAATTTAGTATCCTGGGTAAATTATTTGGCTTGTGTGAAGCCACCTGTACATGCATGTACATGTGTGTGCAAACAGTTGTATGGTTGCAGCCTCAGGACAAGACCTTCAGCAGTACCTGGGAATCCAGATTGCACCATTGCTAGAGAGGTGGAGTCTTCTGCAGCTGAAATGCAGAGCCTGTGAGGAGCTGTGCTAGAAATACTAGTCACAGGCAGCTGCTGGGTCAGTGGTCACCTGAGAAGGTTGACACCTGCAGCAGTCTCTCTGTCTCTATATCTCCCCTATGTTACCCTGATGCCAAAGAGTAAATAGGTATATGGATAAAGAGAAATGTGTTGCAATATCCTGTGAATATGACATGTGTCTCTTCAACCTTTGCCACCAGACGCTGTGTGGTTGCCTATGGCACAAATACTACTTTACTCTGCTAAGGATCCCACTGGAATCTCACTATACTTACTAAGGCTTAGTGGGAGCTGAAGTAGAAAAAAAATAATCCCCAGACAGTTTAAATAAGGTTTGATTATTCACAGGAGAAGCAGGAGAGTGGTAAAAATTCTCCTGCATTTGTTGTGAGCCTCTAGCATTGCCCCAGACTGCTGTTTTCTTTTCTTGGATGCTCCTTAATCCAGACTGTAACTCGAGATAAGTGAAATTCTGCGTAGAAGATGAAGAACCAGAGAACAATTTGGGGCTGCCCTCCATCTAGTGTATTTTAGGTACTTCAAGGAGTTTGACTCTTTCTAGATGCTGGAATAACTGTGAAATACCGCACCTTTTGTATGAATCTCTCTACCAGGGGCTATTCCCTTTGGACCCTAGCCTGTCTGCAAGGCAGTGGCCAGAGAGAACAAGGTCTGTAATTTTAGTTTACTTATATTAGGGCTTAGTTTTATTCACATGAGTTACAGCAAGTTGTAGCAGTGCTACTGATATCACTTCAGTTTTACCATTTAAAGGTAAACAAAGGCAACCTAAACAAATACAAGATAAAGGCAACAAAATAAGAGTTTTAACAATGATATCTGTTTGTCTTTGCAATAGTTTTCATAGTCTTGTGGTTTAGGCCTGGTTTATGGTTCTTTTAATTTCATGAAATATGTAGCATGTTTTCAGTGTTTTTTCCAGCTCTTGAACTGATAGGCAGAATATTTTATCAAAAAATCTCACAGCAAGGATTTTTAAATAATACCTGAATTGAATTCAATACTATCATATTGCTCAAATGATTTAAGACTGAAAATGGGGAAAACAAATTTCTATCTAAAATCCTTCATAATTTAAACCAAGAAAAGGTATATATACTTTCTGACTTGTCCGATTAACAGCTAGTATGTCATATACTGATAAGTTGTATTTTTCACCAGATAATTTCAGTTAGTAGCTAAATCAGAAATTAATTCTAAAAAAAAAGATAATTAACTGTAAACTGCATAATTCCACACCCCTTCCCCCTCTCCCTCCCCTCCCCCAAAACTAAGGTCAAAGTTCTGGTTTAAAATATTTTAACTTTTTTTTTTTTTCAGTAAAGCATTTTTCAGCTGCATAAAAACAGTACTTTGAGAAAGAATCCACATGTTCAAGACTGAACTTCTGAGGGAAACTGTTTATATGAATCAGCTCAACCAGCTCCCCTCAACAATACAGCACTTGTGAAGGCGATAGCACTGTCCACTTTCCATTGATATGCAGCTATCAGTCTGGTGAGTCAGACTATAAAGCATTTAACAACTGTTCTCATAAATACCATACACCATCTGTTAACTAAATCAAAAGGCCACATGCCAATTTTAGTTTTGGATAGAAAAGTCTGTTTTAAAATTACACCGGTAGTCTAAGGGTTCACAAATGTTACCAAAAAAATTAGTACAGAAACATGTCATCCCACCTAATTCTCAAAAAGCACAGCTGAGAAGAAAACCAGTTTTGTCCAGTGGGACACTTTGGCATTGTATAATTTGTTCTCATTGCAAGTCAGAACTAAAGGACTTGAAAATTTCATTATTCATGGCATGAAACACCAAACTTATTTTTTTGAATATTTTTAGGGAATATGTCTACATTAATTTCTTAC